GTTTGGATTCTGCCCAATTTCTGTTCCTGACAAGTTCCCGGGTGATGGTTTTGTGGCTGGTCTTTGAGAACCGTGCCTTAGGATGGGTGCCGGACTGGAGTTTGAGTCCTGGCCACAGCCCTGTCTGTCTGCATGGCTGTGGGCAATGTATTTTTTTAAATAGTTTATTGTCAAGTTTATTTCCATGTAACACCCAGTGCTCATCCCCACAAGTGCCCTCCTCCATGCCCATCTCCCCCCTTCCCCCCAACACCCATCTGCCCTCAGTTTGTTCTCAGCATTCAAGAGTCTCTCATGGTTTGCCTCCCTCCCTCTCCCTCACTATTTTTCCCCTTCTACCCCATGATCCTCCATTAAGTTCCTCCTAATCCTCCTACACGTGCAAACATATGATATTTGTCCTTCTCTGCCTGACTTATTTCGCTCAGCATAACACCCTCAAGGTCCATCCATGTTGCTACACAGGCCAGATTTCATTCTTTCTCATGGCCATGTAGTATTCCATCGTATAGATAAACCACATCTTCTTGATCCATTCGTCCGTTGATGAACACTTACGCTCTTTCCATGTTTTGGCTGCTATTGAAAGCGCTGCTATGAACAATGGGGTCCATGTGCCCCTATGCATCAGCACCCCTGTATCCCTTGGGTACATTCCCAGCAGAGCTATTGCTGGGTCATAGGGGAGTTCTATTGTTCATTTTTTGAGGAACCTCTACACTGTTTTCCAGAGGGGCTGCACCAGCTTACATTCCCACCAACACTGTAGGAGGGTGTGTGGGGAATGTAATGACTCAAAATCTCAGCTTTCTCAGGTGTAAATAGGATGATGTTAGTACTGCGTCACGAGGATCAGTCATGGCGGTGTGTGTACAGTACTCAGCACAGTGCCTGGGAGGCAGCGCAGACTTCCTGAATGTCAGGAGTGGCTGGGTCGAGAGTGGCTCTGGTGTCTGCACGCTGCAGGGCGCTAATAAACAAATGTGTTACTCCTGAAGCAAGGGATGGCCTCAGAGAGTTGTCCCTCAAATTGCACATTTTGGGAAATCCTAATGTGTTTTACAGAAGCATGTTTTAGAACGGTAGAAGGTTTTATTCACAAAACACAACTTGGGGGCTCGTGAGTGGCTCAGTGGGTTAAGTGTTTGACTTCAGCTCAGGTCATGATCTCATAGCTCTTGAGTTCAAGCCCCGTGTCAGGCTCTGTGCTGACAGCTCAGACCCTGGAGCCTGCTTCAGATTCTGTGTCTCCCTGTCTCTGCCCCTCCCCCGCTCATGCTCTGTCTCTCTCTCTCTCTCTCTCTGTCTGAAAAATAAACATAAAAACAATTTTAATGGGTGCCTGGGTGGCTCAGTCGGTTAAGCATCCGACTTTGGCTCAGGTCATGATCTCATGTTTTGTGGGTTCAAGCTCCACATCAGGCTCTGTGCTGACAGCTCAGAGCCTGGAGCCTGTTTCAGATTCTGTCTCCCTCTGTCTCTGATCCTCCCCTGTTCATGCTGTCTCTTTCTCTCAGAAATAAATAAAACATAAAAAATTTTAAAAAAGAACAAAAAACAATTAAAAAACCCCCACAACTCTCAGGAAAAATGTAAATTGGAACTATAAATGTGCAGTTTGAATATATTATTTTACATGTGTTCCTGTGCTGATCTATAATTATTTTCTAGGTCATCAGTTCCTAGGGTTTTGGCCTCAGGACTCTGAACTTTTAAAAATTATTGAAGACTTTGAAGAATTTTTTTTGGTGGGTTATGACTATTGATATTCACCATATAAAACAGAAAATGGGAAAAAATTTAAATTATTCACTAAAATAATCAACATACTTCAAGTTAATATAAGTAATATATTTTATTAAAATAACTAGATTTTCCCTCCAGAAAAGTGAGAAGAGTAGCATCGATTTACCTTTTGAAAATATGAGTAATGTCTGGCTTAAAGGAAGACCACGTTCTCCCCTCTCTTCCTTTCCTTTAGACTTACTGATTTCTGCATGCATGTGTAACTCAAGGAATACATGTTTTCATTTTAGCTGTTTTTAGATTTCTAAGAAGGAAGTCATCTTTCCACTCAGTACCTGCTTTATTCACTTAGTATCATATTGCTAATATTCGTCCATAGTGTGTGTCAATGAAACTGAGTTCACTTATTTTGAATGCTATGGAGTCTTACTGACTTCTGGGCCGGTACTCAATACCATAAAGAGAATGGGCCCGTTTTTGCCCAGGATAGGTAAAATCACATAAACTTTGAGATTAAGATAGAAAAAATTTTGGGAGGCGCCTGGGTGGCTCAGTTAAGCGTCTGACGTTAGCTCAGGTCATGGTCTCGCAGTTCATGAGTGTGAGCCCTGTGTTGGGCTCTATGCTGACAGCTCAGTGCCTGGAGCCTGCTAAGGATTCTGGGTCTCCTTCTCTCTCTGTCCCTCCCCTGCTTGTATTCTGTCTCTCTATCTCTCAAAAATAAAACATTTAAATTGTTTTTTAAAAAAGATAGAAAAGGGGTGCCTGGGTGGCTTAGTCGGTTAAGCGTCCGACTTTCGCTTAGGTCATGATCTCGCGGTTCGTGGGTTCGAGCCCCACGTCGGGCTCTGTGCTGACTGCCAGCTCAGAGCCTGGAGCCTGTTTCAGTCTGTGATTCCCTCTCTCTCTGGCCCTCCCCTGCTCACGCTGTCTCTCTCTCTCCTAGAAATAAATTAAAAAAAAAAAAAGATAGAAAAGATGTTCAGATGAGTAATCAATTAATGAAGTGGTGGAGGAAAACGTTTTGGAAGTAGAGAAAGCCACACAGGTAATTTTCCTAATGCAGTCATAAAATTCTAACCTACAACTTCATACAGCTGATAAGTGTCCTATGGCAAAGGACCACAGCCAGCCGATTTATATGGAAAAGCATGTCCCAAGTAGGTGTGACGCCAAGATCAAGCTGGGGGTGGGGGAGCAGGAGCTGTCGATGGCACTTTTACAGGGGCCCAGCCTCTTCCCTCCCCAAGGGAGCACTGTGGGCACCGCTGTGTCTATGACTTGTACTTATCAACACTTCATATTCGACCAACTATCCCAGCTCAGAGTTTTAAAGTGAAGACTCTGGCTTTTGACTCACTACCCTGATCTACTTCCACTTCAGCCTCCTTGTCTGCAATCATTTCTTCCGGAGCCTTCTGTGTTCATAACTTAACCTGTGTCACTAGGAAAAGATGAGCCAGTGCTGCTTCTGAAGAAAGCAAGTGTAGCAATAACTTTTCCGAAGCCTACCCTGTGCTCATCCAGAGGCCACTGGTGCTCCCAAGGCCTTGGGGGAAGAGGGAATGAATTGCAGGAAAAAGAGGGGCTGCAGTCACCCTGTGAGTGGTGGACAGGCATCTCTGGGGTTCATCTCTACCTGCAAAGAGATATCATGATCAATCATTAATGATTTTTAAGGACAATTTCTTTATTATTTTTTATTTTTTTAAGTTTATGCATTTTCTTTAGTAATCTCTACACCCAACATGGGGCTGGAATTTACAACCCCTGAGCTCAGGCCAAGTCACATGCTCTTCCAACTGAGCCAGCCAGGTGCCCCAGGGCAATTTTTAGAAGAAGTTACTGGTCTCTTGAAGTGCAATAAAAAGAGGAATGTGGAATGAACTGAATAGCCAATTTAAATTTAAATTAGGGAAGTTGAAATTTTTTCAGTGGATGCTCATTGAGTTCACAGGCAAGAACAGCCTTGAGCACAGCAAGAACTGTCTCCCCTTTGGTGTTCCTTCTTTCTCTGTGCCTGATGCAAGCGCACGGACTGTCCTCCCAAACCACGGTCCGGGCCGGTGTGTTGGCCCCCCGGCGCCCCCCCTCCCGGGCACAGTCTCACTCTCCGGTCTGGCACGCGCTTCTCAAACAGGCGGCTGGGCGCTGTGGTCTCCGGGGCCACGTGCCCATGTCGGCGGGGCCTGGGTGCTCGGCTTGCCTTCCCCGGCTTTGCACACCCAGGGCTTGGGCGGCGCGCGCTAGCCGGTCGCTAAGATTTCCCGAACTGAACACCGAAGGAAAATTAAAGTCATTTAAAATTAATTTGAAAAGCAAGGCTTGCCAGTGGACAGGACTTTACAAAGAAGTTGATTTGCTTCCAGAGCACAGTCAGACATCGGCCAGAATTCTAAGGAACTGCCTTTTCAACTAAATTCGCTCCCTGGGTCCCAGCGCATTAAGGATCACACATCCACGTCGGCCGGGGGCGCTCCTGGGGAAAGGCGCTGCCCTGCCTCCGGCCTCGGCTCTCTTTCCCATCGCGCAATGCCCGTCTTTCCCGCCGCTGCAACAGTAGAGGGCAAGCCACGTCTCGGGAGAACGCTGACAGCATGCCCAGGGGGCAGGGATCCCCGCCGGCCCGCCGGGTCCGCCCAGGCTGACCCCGCCCCCACTCAGCCCGGCCCCGCCCACGCCGCCTAGACCACGCCCCCACACAGCCCGGCCCCGCCCCCACTGACCCCGCCTCACTCAGCCCGGCCCCGCCCGCCCCCACTGACCCCGTCCTCCCACTCAGCCCGGCCCCGCCCCCACTGACCCCGCCCCCCACGCGGTGCCGCCCCCGACCGCCCTGCCCACCCCTCCCAGACCGCTGCTCTTTAGGCGGCCCCGCCCCGCTCCCACCACCTAGACCCCGCCCACATGCGGTACCGCAATGCGCACACAGCCCACTCTCCGCTTCTTACTCCGCTTGGCCCTAGACCCCGCCCCTCACACAGTACCGCCCTAGACTCCGCCCCTCAGTCGGCTCCGCCCGGCCAACACCTCCCAGACCCTGTGCCGCCGCTCACAGTGCACTTCTAGCCGACACAGCCCTAGTCCCTACCCACTTCCGTAGGCCTCGCCCCTCCCGGGACGGCCCAGGCCCGACTTTCTCCCCGACGTCCAGGAAATTGAGCCGGCAACGCGCAGGCTTTAGGTCCTTAGGCCCCGCCCCGCCCCTGCAGCTCTGCCGGACGTGCGTCATCTCCCAGCGCCGCCGGCGGAAGCTGGGTCTGTGTGCCGGCAGCGCCAGGCGCAGAGCTGAAGAGTTCGGCGATGGCCGGCAGTGAGTGATGACTCGGTTACTGTGCATTGCGCGCAGAGTCGCTTTGGTCGCCGTGCGCTGCAGCGCCCGCGGCTGCAGCGGTCTCGGCATGTTCTATGCTGTGAGGAGGGGCCGCAAGGCCGGGGTCTTCCAGACCTGGTGAGTGGGCGGCGCCGAGTCGCGCCTCCGGCAGCCGCGCGGCAGGAAGGCGGGCTGTCACCGAAGCTCGCGGCCCTCGGCCTGGGGGGCAGCGCGGGGAGCCCGCGGCCGGCAGCGCAGTGGGAGCCCCGAGCCCGTCTCCGCCGGCGTCGGCTCGCCGGCCCCGGCCGGACGCTGTGACTCCGTCCCATTTCTGTGGGCGCTATCAGAGATGCCACGTATAGTGTCAGGGTGACCAGGGCCCTCGACTTAGTCCTTCCTTTCTGTTTCAGTGAAACAATTTCCAAGCGCTTACACGTAGCGGAACTCTGATAGTATCTAATGGAATCTTCCCTGTGTCTTTAAAAAGAGCAATTCTTCCAAACCTAAATTTAGGTCCCTGTAACAACCCTATGAGGTAGGTGAGTTAATTATATTCAGGTGTAGTAGCCGTGGCGAGTAGGTGATACGGGTAGGACTTGTATGCAGGTGTTCGGATTCCACGGCCAGGACTCGCCCCGCCATAGGACACCAAAGTTTGGTGTGTGTGTGTGTGTGTGTGTCCACAGTTGTTTACCTGTGCAGCTGTGCTGCGGAGGCAGCGGCAGCTCCGAGGTTCACCTTTTTGCTGTAATGAAACGTTAATCGGGTTTTCTGTTTCAAAGACCCACGAACCCCAGTAAGTTTTGAGGTTGGAGAACTGTTGCCAGGCCGGCGCACCGTCTGGCCGGGACATAGCGCCGCAGGGTGAAGTGTGGGACAGGAACGACAGCCACAAACAGTTTGCCTCCACGGAGCTGACAGCCCCGACCTTTCTCACATTCCCAACCTCAGACTCTGTTAAAAAGAGGATTCGTGAGGGAGGAAGAAGTAACCTTGCGCTCTATTCCAGGAACGAATGTAGAGCCCAGGTGGACCGGTTTCCTGCTGCCAGATTTAAGAAGTTTGCCACAGAGGAGGAGGCCTGGGCCTTTGTCAGAAAGCCGGCAAGCCCGGATGGACCGGAAGGTAGTCAGCCACTCTCACCGTCGTGGCGTCTTAACCTGTTCAGAGCCTCGCATAGCCCCGGAGTCACTTGATCTGTGTAGCTACCTTACAAACAGAGCAGATACAGTCGTTTCCATTTTACCATTTTACAGGTGGGGAGACAGGCAGAAAGCAGGTTAGCTTAGTGAGTCTGTCAGTGTCTGAATTAGAGACGAGCCAGGACACCAGCCTCCTGTTCCATTCACTGTCCTCACTATGCTTAACTTTATCTCTTAGAAAATACTTGTTCTGGGGCGCCTGGGTGGCTCAGTCGGCTAAGTGTCTGACTTTGGCTCAGGTCATGATCTCACGGTTGGTGGGTTCAAGCCCCACGTCGGGCTCTGTGCTGACAGCTCAGAGCCTGGAGCCTGCTTCGGGTTCTGTGTCTCCTTCTCTGACCCTCCCCTGCTCACTCTGCCTCTCTCTCTCTCTCTCAGAAGTTAAAAAAGAAAAAGAAAATACTTACTCTGTCATCGAATTGACTGGGCTGCAGTTTTAAAGTGGTGAGCGTAGTTTGCCTCAGTGCGCGCACCTGTATGGTGTTTCCTTTTTGTGTAGGACAGTCACAGGGTCGAATTTCCCCAATGTCACTTGTTGCAGAAAGCATAGTTAATTGAAGCGTAAGTCCCAGTATAAGGAACATCAAGTACGTGGGACTGAGGGGTCTGCTTCAGAGCACAAAAATTTTAAAATAGTTAACCCTGAACAGCACGTGTTTGAACTGCATGGGTCAGCGTATGTGTGGACTTGGTTATCTAACATTTATTACATCCGTTTATTGTTATAGATTCCTTAATGACAGTTTCTCTTCTCTAGCTTATTCTAAGACTACAGTCTATAAGACATATACAAAATATGTGTGAATTGACTGATTACATTACTAGTAAGGCTTCCAGCTAACAGTAGGCTCTCAGTAGTAGTTAAGTGGTTGGGAAGTCAAAGTCTATACTCAGATCTTCGACTGCGCAAGGTGTTAAACTCCCCATGGTGGTCAGAGGTATACTGTATACCTTAACCGACTTTGAAGAGGCGGTGTTTCATTAGCTTTACTCACAGACTTTTTTTTTTTAAGTTTATTTATTTTTGAGAGAGAGAATCCCAAGCAGGCTCCGCACTCTGAGCACAGAGCCTGACATGGGGTTCGAACTCATGAACTGTGAGATCAAGACCTTAGCTGAAACCAGGAGTCCCGCTGAGCCCACTGAGCCCCCCGGTGTCCCTAGTGTTAGGTGTTATGATCACTGTTATAATTCCCCTGGCGGCCCCGCTGTGCCCTGGGTCCTCTTCCAAATCTGGAAGTATGGCTCTTGTCATAGTTGGGTTCTTAATACCTCCTTTTCACTGCTCTTTCGTTTTAACTAATCAGTTCTTCTGATATGTTTCAGTTTGTTAAATACTCTACATCCTAAGGGAAGGCATTTCCTTATGTCTATGAGTCACCTTTCTTAGAAGTTTACAGAGACCTCCTATTTAGTGACTTCTGTATAAAAATTGGGATTTAACATTTTTAATGTTCAAAAATGTATCAAAGCAAAAGTGTTAACTCCTTTCCTAATTTTTCCCTTAATGTGACCTATATTTTTATTTTGAGATTTTTGAGTTATTTGCCGTATCGCTCTCTGTAAGCTGATTTAGGGTTAACTTACTCGAAAAACACACTGTTGTGAAGGGAAAATTATCTGACAACCATGGTTTCTTTATCCTTCAGCCTTTTAAAAAATTTTTTATTTTTTAATGTTTTATTTATTTCTGAGAGAGAGAGAGAGAGAGAGAGACACGGACAGACAGCGTGAGCAGGGGAGGGCCAGAGAGAGAGGGAGACACAAAATCCGAAGCAGGCTCTAGGCTCTGAGCTGTCAAGCACAGAGCCCAACGCGGGGCTCAAACCCACGAGCCATGAGATCATAACCTGAGCCGAAGTCGGAACCGACTGAGCCAACCAGGTGCCCCATCTTTTTCCTTCAGTCTTATCTGGACTTTAAAAACTTTTATGCCAGGGGCACCTGGGTGGCTAAGTCAGCAGAGAGTCTGGTTCTTTACTATGGCTCAGCTCATGATCTCATGGTTTGTGAGTTCAACCCCTGCATCAGGCTCCACACCGATAGTGCGGAGCCTGCTTGGGATTTTCTCTTTCCCTCTCCCCCGCCATGCTCTCTTCCTCTCTCAAAATAAATAAATAAACCTTACACACACACACACACACACACACACACACACACAAAACCTTAAAAAAAAGGTAAAAACTTTCATGCCAGTTTAACTCTGTTACTATAAATAAAATCAGTGTGTTTATAGCAGTATTAGGATTTTGCAGAATTACCCTTTGACCTGTGCTTTTGTTTAGGGTTTTACGTATCAAAAGTACCTCGAGCTATATTTTCAAGGTAAATGTAGCAGAGTGGAAATACCATACATTGCTCTCTGTGGTGACTTGACTCAGATTTGGCCTTGATGACCATCGCGGCCTTCTGACAAGTGTGGGTTGAGAAGCTCACCCGTGTGGTGGGTGTTCAGTCAATGCTAGAGCCCCATTTCTCCATCCCTGTTTAGGGGTTTAGAGCTTAAAGTGAACTCTGCAGTGTTGGGTTTAGTTGTTATTTTGGAGACGCAGTCAGTGACTCCTTCTATGCCCCTATCCCCTTTCCATAAAACGATAATGTAGGAAAAGCTGCTCCCACATAGCGTGAGGGAGTATGAGAATCCCTTCAGGATTAATCCTGAGTTCACCCTTCCCCTGAAAGAAAATTCTGCAGCTACCGCCCTGAAGGGATTCAGTCCCTCTGCTGTTTGGTTTCTACTTTCCTTTCTCCAGGTGGTGACCTGTTTCTGTCGGGTCAAGTTAACCCTCTTAACTTTCCTGGAGGGTCTCAACTTGGCCTTGATGGAATTGAAGTGTCTAGAGTAGGGGTGAGGTGTTGGGCCACAGATGCCACTGATCTTACATATGAAAGTTTGGTCCTTGTTTCTTTTGGGGAAGGAGTCCCTCAGACTCGCACACTGCTGGCCGTCCCTGTAGGCTTCAGAACGCGTGCTGTCTCTGTCTCTGTCAAAACCAGATCTCTATTTTACTAGAAATGTTGCTCTAGCCTTCAAATCGCCCTTATCAAGCTTATCATGACAAATTCAGAGTAATTTCATAGGACATCAGAATCTGAGATGACGTGGGCTGCCCGAAGCCCTTTCCTCTTTACAGGGCTACACAGGGTATTTAAGTCGGATTTGGTGATAATAAATGACTTACGGAATTTCTGGATTTTTCAGCATTTCATTTTGTGTTCATTTTTTTCCGGGTTTTTGAGTAGACTCTATCTTTCAGGGGAGGAAAATGAACACGTACAAGAATCACAAGTGAAAGCAAGCAAGCGAGTCCGTGAGCGTTTGGACGGAGATGAAAATGCAGAACCGTGTGCGAAGCATATGAAACAGAGCGCAGAACCGGTCCCTGCAGTCGGCAAAGACACATTTGCTTACATGGGTATGTCTTTCTTGGATCTTTAAATGTTCTATGTAATAATCATGAAAATAGGTGTAAAAACTATTCTCACTTAATGGGGGAAATTTGAGCTAATGTTTGTTCTTGAGGGAGAGACAGAGACAGAGGAGGGTCAGAATGAGAGAGGGACACAGAATCGGAAGCAGGCTCCAGGTTCTGAGTTGTCAGCATAGAGCCCGACTCAAGACCGCGAGATCATGACCTGAGCCACCCAGGCGCCCCCATTTTCATTCTTACCTGAAAAGTTTATCTAAAAATCTGAGGTTACTATTTTATAGTTGATCAGACTGCAGAATTATTAAAACTTTGGACTTTCATTAGAAAACCATTGTGTGGTGTACAAATGAAGAGCATTGCAGTCTTCTGAATTGTCAGTATTCCCTGCACGCAGGATTTCAGGTCAGTATGAGAGAATGCAAAGGCTTCATCATCTTCCAATAGGAAAGGGCCTGGACAGCGCTCTTTTTTTAGCTCCACTATCTACAACTTGTACATTTGGCCTCTGCAGACTGTAAATGATGTTACCTCGTTCTCTACCTCTAACTTTAGAAATCAGTCTATATTTAGTGACTCATGGTATATAAAGCTCGTTTTTGGTTTTTAGATATATGAACAGAAAATAGGAGTAAGTAGCATTTTTATATAAATCACTGTATTTGTGGTTCCAGGTTTTCTCCAGGAATAAACCATCTTATAATTTAATTCAGGGAAAGCCAATAGAAAATGTTTTGTCAAGCTATATCGCACATGTATAAATCGGGGCGCCTGGCTGGCTCGGTCTGTAGAGCATGCAATTCTTGATCTCGGGTCGTGAGTTCAAGCACCGCATTGGGTAGGGAGCCTACGTTAAAAAAAACAAAAATAAAAAACTATGAATCAAATTTCTAGTTATGTAAAAAAAAAAAAAACAAAAAACCCAGATGTTCTTGATGGGTCATTTGCCAGCAGTAGTCAGAATCATGGAGTGGAGTGACTGGGAGATGAGCCACTTCTGAGCTACTAACAGTGGCTTGAGGGACGGTGGCACCCAGCGCAGTGCCTGATAGGTCCTTGCAATGGGGACAGTTCAGTGAGCAGCAAGGCAGCTGTGTTGAAGGCGTCAAGTTCTTCTGGACCAAGGATTCTGGCCCAGCACCCCTGTCCCCCCAGCACCTCTGTCCCCCACACCCCTCCTCCCCCCACACCTCTGCTCTCCCACACCCCTGTCCTCCACACCCCTGTCCCCCCACACCCCTGTTCCCCACACCCCTACCTCCTCACATCCCCAGCCCTGCTCTGGTCGGGAACGTGCTGTTCTGTCACATTACGTCTTCCCTCCTCTTCCCTTTCCCTGTGCCTCGTCCAGCCTGCAGTCCTTCCGACGAACAACTCCTAGAGCAAGGCGTCTGTTTACTCCCACAGCCCTGCTTTGTAAGACCTGCCAACCTGACCTCTCCTGCTGCCCTGCTGAGCGTGTTCTGGTCACATCTGGGGCCCTAGAGCGGCCTCATATCCGTCCTTTTCTGCCGCCTTCTTTACAGCACTGGGATGTCAATCAGACCCTCTGTTCTGAGGGAAAGAAGCAAAGACGCCACCATTGTTTCCTTGAGGCAAATATACTAGAAAAAAAATTAGACCGACATTTGTCAGGGGACTAGACCTTCTAGCGCGCAGGTCAGGAATCGTTCATGTTTTCCGGACAGAAAGTCCCGCCCACCTCGAACGATACTCTCTGTTTAACGTGAGACCGTGAGCTCAGCAAGTCTGAAGTGGATCTCAGTGTTTGTGCTCTTGACCCAGTGATGCTCACGGAATCCCTCTTCCAGGAGACTATGTCGTTGTCTACACTGATGGCTGCTGCTCCAGTAACGGGCACAGGAGGGCCCGCGCGGGAATTGGCGTTTACTGGGGACCGGGCCATCCTCTGTGAGTAAACAAAAGGGCTTCAAATCTAAGTGAATCATAGTCCAACACTTGTGAGGGCGTGACCCGGGACGTGGCCACCTGGCACACGGCTTTGGCAGGGGTGGCGGAGAGTGAGCTTCAGTTTGTGCCGGTACTGGCAGCTTCGTCCTTCGGGAGGAAGCCTCAGTGTTGCTTTCTTGGCCTCGAGTCTTTTTTTTTTATGTTTTACTTATTTCTAGGAGAGAGAGAGAGAGAGACAGCATGAGCAGGGGAGGGTCAGAGAGAGAGGGAGTCACAGACTCTGAAACAGGCTCCAGGCTCTGAGCTGGCAGTCAGCACAGAGCCCGACGCGGGGCTCGAACCCACGAACCGCGAGATCATGACCTAAGCGAAAGTCGGACGCTTAACCGACTAAGCCACCCTGGTGCCCCACTTGGCCCCGAGTCTTGATGCGTGTCTGTTCCTCACTGACAGCACCTTCTGCCCAGGTGACCTCCCTGCCCCGCTAGGTAAGTCACACGTCCCCCGCGGGCCAGTTTTGGGAAGGACATCCCAGGGGCAGGCCGCCAGACTTGGAGCCCAGCATGTCCCCACGACTCTTCTGAAGACCTGTGAGCTTGGGGTGGCGTCTCGTTTTCCACAAGGCGCTAAGTCAGGATGGAGCCGGGGGGTCACGTACAGGCGCCCACAGCAGGGTTAGGCATGACGTAAGATAAGCTGCTAAGTAATTGTGAGGCTTGACGTTTCTCTCCGTCTGTGGTCTACAGGGTGCTTTCCTTTTAATATCTCGTTTTAGCTTTGAACCCTGTAAGAGGTGGCGAACTTGTTAGTGTTCATCCGAGACCAGACGCTCAGTATTTTAGGGCCAGAAATAAAACTTTGCTTTTCACTTCTGGCCCAGTATTCTTTACCAGACCAGCCCATGATGCTTTTCCATGAGATGTTAGTACTGTCAATTTGATTTTTAAAGGCTATGTTTTTGTATGATGTTTTCATGTGTAAAAAACATATAGGCCTATTCTCCATTGAGAGGCTTATGGAATCACTTTGAGATTTAGCTTTTTAAATTAATTTCTTTTTCCTTTGTATCATTTTGAAACTAGGAACATGGGCATCAGGCTTCCCGGGCGGCAGACCAACCAAAGAGCAGAAATTCATGTAAGTTGTCAGACACTTTTCCCACTGATCATGAGTCGCTCGTGGCCATGAGCTGCGTACACACTATGTGCACAAGATACTCAGGGTCTAGAAGAAACTTAGTTTGTGGTTAATAACTGCAACAGATAGAGATTTTTCCAGAAAACTTTTTTTTTTTTTAATATTTTTATTTATTTCTAGGAGAGAGAGAGAGACAGCGTGAGCAGGGGAGGGTCAGAGAGGGAGATACAGACTCTGAAATAGGCTCCAGGCTCTGAGCTGGCAGTCAGCACAGAGCCCGACGTGGGGCTCGAACCCACGAACCGTGAGATCATGACCTAAGAGAAAGTCGGACGCTTAACCGACTACGCCACCCAGGCGCCCCATTCCAGAAAACTTTTTGAAGTGATTTCACAAAAATGTGCAAACAACTGTATGTGTAGCAATATTTCATATAGAGAGTATAAGCATTACACTTAGCACAGAGAAAGACCATTTAAATGGTGGAGTGATTTCAAACATTAGTGAGGTTGAACTTTGTAGCATGCTGACAGACTGCTTTCTTCAAGGCAGCCTGCAAAGCCATCGAGCAAGCGAAGGCTCAGAACATCAAGAAGCTGGTTCTGTATACGGACAGTATGTTTACCATAAATGGTAAGCTCTCATATTGTACTTCTCCGGTGTTCTCCTAGTAAGCACAGAGGGAAGCGTGAATTCCCTTCTGCAGCAGAGGGATCGCATCGGGGCAGGACACAGACGGGAAGTGGGGACCACGTTCGGTTTGTCAGGTGTCAGGGAACAGATGAGGTTCTAGAGCCCAGTTCTGCTCTGCTGCATGCCCCACAGTCAGGTGTGTGTCAGGCACTGAGCACAGGGCAGTGGGGTCGGTGTGTCCCTGCTCTCGTGGTCCTTGGAGCATAAACGTGCATAAGTACCTTTCAGGGGCTGGGCTGACGGCTCTTTCGGGGAGTTCTGTGTTTAGGACGTGGGGTGGGGGGTTGGGGAGGTGGAGGAGGTGGCCTCTTCGGCCAGGAGCTGTGGGTCAGCATGAGTCCGAGCGCAGGGATGAGCTGGCGAGCCTGCCAGGCCTGTGCCCTGGGCCGGAGGCCGGCCCGTGTGGGCAGGTGTGCACACGCCAGACGGAAGAGTGAAGCGGGTGTAGGAGGGAGTCTGGGGAGGAGCAGAGACCAGGCCATTGGAGCCGGCTTGACCGCGAGTGTGGGTTTCTCACAGGGATCACTAACTGGGTTCAAGGCTGGAAGAAGAACGGGTGGAAAACCAGCACGGGGAAGGACGTGATCAACAAGGAGGACTTTGTGGCGCTGGAGCAGCTGACCCGCGGCATGGACATCCAGTGGGTGAGTGTTTTCTGAGCTCGACCTGTCCCCGGGCCGTCAGGACCAGAGGTTCTAAATTAACTGAGAGATCGGTGGTTTCTGTGAGTGGATTAACGACTTGAGTGAAAGTAAGTTTCCATGCAATTAGCGTCATAGCACGTGTTTGCAGTCGGGACACATTGGGCCCTTGATCATCACAGAAGTCACACTGCGTATTGTTGGCGTGATCGTGTGGAGAGCACACCTTTCTGGTGTGAATGAATGAGGGATGCTTGGTGTTCTTTCTGTTGTCCTAGCGGTGCTTGCTAGTGCCTGGCCTGGGCTCCCCTCCTTGCTGCTAAAGTGACTTGTGACAGTCATTTTTGGTTTTTTAGGAATCATCCATAATCTCAAGATAAAGTGAATTTATAAGGAATTTTTAAAAAATAAAGTGTGATCAAGACTTTAGTAACATAACTTTTTTCCAAAGTGGAAATGTTTTTCTTTTTTAAATTTAATTAAAATTTTTTTACATTTCTTTATTTTTGAGAGAGACAGACAGAGCCCAAGTGGGGGAGGGGCGGAGAAAGAGAGGGAGACACAGGATCTGAAACAGGCTCCAGGCTCTGAGTTCTCAGCACAGAGCCCGACGTGGGGCTCGAACCCACGAACTATGAGATTATGACCTGAGCCGGAGTTGGACGCTTAACTGACTGAGCCACCCAGGTGCCCCGGAACTGTTTTTCTTATAGTTTTTATTAAGACTGTTAAAGCAGTACCGAGCACGTTAAACGACCAGCATTGTCTGAACCCTACATTGTCCTCCCTCCCCAGGACCACTGGGGGCAGTTTGGTGAAGTAGGGTTTAAATTTGCCGTTCAGCAGTGTAGATATGACGAGTGGTTACATACTTAACATCCCTTTCCGAGGTGTGTGTGTTGGATACGTCTGGTCGGTGTCTGTCTGTACTAGTGTGTTTTGCCTGGAAAGCCCTCCAGTTCCATCATTCAGTGGGAAAAAAGGCAACAGTAAAATCAGGTTGGTGGAGAATCAGAAGGGGAGCTTTGGAAACGCCTTCACTGCACGGTGCCCTGGGCCCGCAGGCTGTGCTGTTGGACTGTGTCGGGGCAGGGCCGAGGGCGGCTGAGTCCTGTCTCCTCCCGCCCCTGGGAGCAGTCGCAGTTTTTACAGTGAGGGTACACTCGTGTATTGCTTACGTAAAAAACCAGTGAAGATAAAAGGAAACAATTTATTTAACAGATGCATGTTCCTGGCCATTCGGGATTCACAGGCAATGAAGAAGCTGACAGATTAGCAAGAGAAGGGGCTAAGCAGTCTGAAGACAGAACGAAGTCCTTTTAATTCTTGGGAAAGCTTGAGTGAGTGACGGTTTTCTTACCTTTCCTTACTGATGTGAAAAACAAATCAGAAAGTCATTCTGTGATTCCCTGTGATAAAAAGTGGTTCAGTGTGTAATAAATTGAACATCCTCTGAGATTTGAGCATTGTTTGAGATTTCAGCATTCTGCTCTGTTGGGTTGGACACTGTTCTCATTAGTTTTATAACTGTCTGGACAAATTGTAGGACTTGACTTAATAAGACACGAATTCAGCAGACAGGAAATTGGAAGTGTTCTAAAAGTGTTCATTTAACTTATAGTCGGCAAGATTGAGTCTCAGAATGTTTGGGCTGACTTGTCCCTCCCCGGGGAGTAGAGCCGGGCAGTGCTGGGCCTGCACCTCAGCCGAGAGAGCGTGGCCTGGGTCTTACGTGGCCTGGGTCTTACGTGGCCGGGCACCCGTGTGCGAGGGAGGCCTGCGCAGACGTGGTCCTGGCTCCTTGACCGCTGAGAGGGACAGTTACCGGCACAGCAAGATGCACAAAGCAACCTTTGAAAATTTCTTCAGCTGTTTGTCTTAAAAGCACTGTGAAGGTTAAAGTTTGATATAATTGTTTACTTTTACCTTTATTTACTACTTTGTTTTATCACTAAAACGTACAAAAAAATGACACAAATGTATAGCTCATTGAATTACGATTACTGTAAGGTTAATTCCCAGGCAAGAACTAGAACTTTGCCAGACACCCCAGAAGGTTCTCCACGTGCTCCTCCAATCACAGCCCGCCCTCCCTCCCAAATTCATCCTGACTTTTATAGAAATGACTTCTTTGCGTTTCTTTGTAGTAATTCAGCCTTGTCTACGTGTGTCTTTAACTGGGTATTGCTTAAGTCTCTTTCATTTACAGGCCTCCTGCCACTTACTGGTCACCTTACAGGGTCTCCCTGTTAGGAGCCTGGGCCACTTGCCCTGCTGTCCCCACGGTCTAGATTTCTCCACGGCCACCCTCCTGGCTCAGCGCAGCGTTTTCTCCTGTCCTCTGAGCTTCCTGAGAGTTGGCAGCAGGACCCAGACGCTTTTTTTTTTCTTTAACGTTTATTTATTTATTTATTTATTTTTTTTTTTTTAATTTTTTTTTTCAATGTTTTATTTATTTCTAGGAGAGAAGAGAGAGAGAGACAGCGTGAGCAGGGGAGGGTCAGAGAGAGAGGGAGTCACAGACTGAAACAGGC